GTGTGCAAGATCCGCCCTCTTCGACTTCCTTCCCCCCCCCCCCTCTCACTCTCACTCTTTTACCGTTCCCGTCGCTCCGTAATACGCTTTCTTTCCCTCTAACGGTCACATTCCTAGACCACCGTTCGAAGATGATGTAGGAGTGTTGTCCAGCAAGACGGATCGACCAAAGGTGTATGCTGCGTATGTGTGTGCGCGCGCGTTGTGTGTGTGTGTGTGTGTGTGTGTGCGCGGCGTGTGCGTGTGCGTGCGCGCTTTTACGGGATGTGCGACGCAGTCAGTCGGTGATGCCGCATCGCGCATCCGTCTCTGTTCAGCACGGAAAAGTGTGGAAGTGCTCACGATGTGTTTACAAACATAACTTTTACACGATAAGATCGATCCGTAAGAGAGTAAAACGTGCACGGGGAATTGCTCGTAAACGGGGAACTTTTTTTCAGGCGTACTCGGAACATAGCGTGCGTCTTTCCGATTGCGACGATCCGCGCCACTGCGTAGCGAATTCATCTATCGCGGTCGCTCGTAAAGCGAAATAGGCGGGTAACGGCCGGCGAGATCAGTGCGCGACTATCGTGCGACAGGTGTTAATCTCGAAAAGTCGAGTGAGATTCGTTCGTAGTAGACGTCTAGCCGCGGATACGTGGATCCATAGCGCTGCCTTGCTTTTTTTTCTTCGACTCGAGCGGTCGCGTAGACGTGACGCCCGTTCTTTTCGAAAGCACGTCTAACGAAAGTGCCTCTGATGAAAGTGTCGTGGGCACTTTCGTGTGACGCGTACGCGCGCCGTTTCATGTCGGGTATCGTCCGAGGTCGTCATCCTACACCACTCTGCGTAGCGTCGCGCGCGCAGGCCGCTATAAATGTGTACCTATATATAAAAAAAACTGCGGCGATTAAGTGATTGACGTTGTACGCGTGCGGCGTTTGCGACGCGCTTTTACAAATGATCCGCGCCGCGCGGCGGCTCTCGTAGCGGATATAGCGGGGGATCGAGCGGGTTTCGTTACTGCGGGTTCGCGCTGCGCGTTCTGCGGAAGAATCAATCGACGGGAAGGCATGGTGTATACGATGCTATTGCGCGGCATCGCGTAAGATCGCCGTACCTCTACCCCACGCGGCACCGCGTCGGCTCTAACGACGTATTTCGGCAAGCGGGATCCGCCTCCGGCCGCGGTGGGAACGCGCAGATCCGCGAGAGCTCGTTCTTTTTCCTTTTTTCTCTTTTTCAAAGCGATTAACCAACGGGCCTCTTGATGGACGAGTTTGACTTTGCGTTTGAAACTCGAACGATAATATACGTCGTGTCGATCTCAACGACGCATTTCGGCTACGGCAGAGACACGCAGACTCGCGAAAGAAGAGAGAAGAGAGAGTTCGCTTACTCTCTCTTGTTGTTTTTTTTTTTTTTCTATTTTTCCGAAAGAGTAGATTCACCGGCCAGAAACTTTTGACGGACAAATTTTATTTTAATTGCTGCTTTATATTAAAATGTACAACAGTAATATTCGTTGTGTTGTCCTCAACGACGTATTTTGGGAACGGCATCCAAACAGCAGAGAAACGCAAATTCACAGAAATTCATTCTCTTTTTTTTTTTAAAGTCGATTACTCGACGGTAAATTATTCGACGCAAAGAGCTTTTTCGTGTTCTTACACAGAGAGAACAATTTTGCTGGCAAATCTAAAAATTTGATTAGATATAGATTTGAAAATAATTTCATTAAATTTTCAAAATTATGTACAACACTAAGCATATTTGGATAACAATATTTGCAAAACCTTTTAATCTAGCCATCAATTTGAATATATTAATTTTGAAAGTCTAATCACATTATTTTTAGATTTATATCTTTTAAACCAAATTTTTAAATTTTCTAAAAAAAAACTATTCTTTCTGTGTACTCAAATAATATCTATTTCTTCAATCTTCATGCATTTTGGCAACAGGTTCGCAATTTAATGACAGAGAAACACACCCAAACTCATTTTTTTTCTTCAAAAGTTGATTAAGTGACAAAAAATTTTGATGGATGAGTTCAATTGCTTCGTGTTTAGACTGATACGTAGAATAATATTCGTTTACTTTAATGACATTTTGTCATAGTTTTCTCTCTCTCTCTTTTTTCTTTTTAAAGAGTCGATTAACCGAGAAGAAATCGTAACGATAAGGTCAGCTGCTAAGATGTTCAAATTTGTATGTAAAATAATTTTTAACGTGTTTACTTTTCAACACCAATATTATACACGCCGTTGATCTTTATTATTTGGAAAGTTTCGGAATACTACAGATATGATCGATCAACAGACGACATCTTATCTTGGAACTTAGATAGGTGAGCGTAAACATTCAATCGTTTCGATGAAAGAAAAGCGGCCAAAGAAATCGCAAACTAATGAATTAAGCTTGGTCGTCGCATTGTTGCGTTTCGCTCTTAAAATAAATGATATATATGTATGTATGTGTGTGTGTGTGTGTGTGTGTGTAGTATATATATATATATTAGTAACACACACACGCGATATTTGTGTGTGTGTGTATATATATATATATATATATATATATATATATATATATAAATAAAATCGTGTTTAAATGGGATAAAATTTTATCCATATTTTTTATAGGATTTATATATGATTTTATAATTTTTTTTTAAAAGACCTGTTAGTTTTAAATAATAATGTATGCGACAAAATATTATACTATATATCATACTATATTATTTGCAAACTGATAAGTAATCATTTTAAACGATAGAAAATATATAAAAAAATTTGTTGTATCGCGATAACGAATCTTCAATATTGTTTCCA